CCAACCAGCACATGCAGGAAAAAACAAACCAACTCCACAAATACGGACGCCAGATTGGGTTAAGAATAAGCCAGAAGAAGACAGAAGTGATGACACTGAATGTAGGCTCCCCTACGCTGATTAGGGTGAACAATGCAGACCTGCCTATAACAGACAAATTTACCTACCTAGGCAGCATAATTAAAACTGACGCCGGCACCAAGGAAAACATCTTGAACAGACTCATCAAGGCAAGATCTGTACACAGAAGCATGATCAACATCTGCAGGTCAGACAGTTCAGTATACGACCAAGTTAAAGCTGTATAACAGAGCTGTACTATCCATACTCCTATGGATCTGAATGCTGGAGGATTAATGATCATGATCGTGCCAAGCTATCTTCTTTTCATACAACCAGCTTACGCCAAATCCTCCTAATCTTCTGGCCCGACAAGATTTCCAACGCAGATCTTTTACGGAAATGTAGGCAAGAGGATATGACCACCATAAAACAAGGAGAAGATGGAGGTGGACAGGGCATGTTCTGAGAAGAAAACCAGGCTCTATTGTGTTACTATTGTAAAGACTGCCCCCCACTGGACACCTGAAGGAAATCGCAAGAGGGGCAGACCCAAAGTGACCTGGAGATGCACTTTTGAGTCTGAAATGAAGTCCTGGAACCATTCGTGGGGGACGTTGACCAAGATGGCCCAAAATAGACAGAGCTGGAGATCCTTTGTTGCTGCCCTAAACGCCAGATGGCGTAACGGGTAGTAAGTTAAAAGTAAGTAAGTTTTGTGATGGAGGTGACAATGTTTATTAATACAAAAATTAGTGAGTGAAAGCTGTTTTTTTTCAAACTTGAATACAGGTAAAAGCACATAACAAAATTAAGCCACTTATTAGTCCTTCCTGACTACTTTCCCCCCTTTTGTTCCCTACCATGAGCCAAATCTTAGGCCCGTACATGAATTCACCTTACTCAAAGAGCTACTATGACAACCAAAAATTAAAAGGAATATTAATCAATGTAACAGAAAAGTCAATAACACAACTTACATAGATAGTGCTCCATGCAAATAACCATCACGAATGAAGAACATTAACAACTTACCTTAACCTCTAACCCATCGAAGCCAATCAAATCGGCAAGTCCAGTGAAGTCCCGCATGCAGTCAGCATCCATATCCATGACATTTATAGGCTCATCCAGGTACAGACTCAACCGCCGTAAGGTGCTCACTTTGAGACAGTGAAGAGGAACCTCATGATAAAGCTCACTCACATAGTTCCTCCAGTTCGACATTTCAATGCCTGAAGCCATTTTCAGAACAACCGTCACTTCAAGACCAACTCAGTCAGTAGGGGTTTACTGTATGTGTGTGGCTTGATCAAACTTTCGACTTTGTCTTTAGAACAAAACAAAAATTGCAATTAAGTCATTTTATATGATCTGCTGATATCACTAATTATCACTAGATTCTAGATCTAGTCTAGATCTACATGATTTTAGCTAAATTACTTTTAGGTAGACTGGTTGGCTAGCCGTACTTATTCTTAATATGATGGCTAGACTGACCATAAAAAAAAAAAATAGGACTACTGAATTGTAAATATAAATGCAGTACCTAAAGTATTTGTATTTCAGACGAAACCAGGTGCCTTAATGACAGTGCATGTATTTTAAACTCCTGTTTTCTAATGTTAATAGGGCCTAAGATAAGTACGGCTAGACTGG